GTCGGAGTCAGTTGACAAACAAAATCCTGTACTTTTTTTAAAGAACAAAATAGCGCTGTGGTCTTCAACCTTCAGCAGAGAGAATCTTTAAACAAACAAAACTGAGAAAGAAACCCCTGCAGCAGTTTGGAACCAAATCTTGGGTATTTTTTTGTTGTTTTGATGTTTTTTTCTTTAGATTAAACCACTTATGCAACCTTTTAACAGTAGCAGGGAGCACATCAGACCACTCATCGCATCCTGCCCACGCATATCTTTGGTGGCAGTGTTTCAGGGTGTGTAATCACTGTGGGTACAAGAGTCTGGAGGCCAGAGCTTGCCCTCCGTGATGTACAGGAGGTGGGGTACCCTGCCAGTCTCCTGGAGGACAGGGACAACAGGTATACTGGTTAGGCACCACAGCCACCTGCAGTAGGCAGAGCTGGATGCTGACAGATGTGCTGAAGGCCTGAGATTGGACTTGGGCCATGGAAAGATGTGAGTTAGCTGGATGAGACAGGGCGTGTGGGAGCAGGTGCTTAAATGTGGGGATGGAAGCAGTTCTGTGTAGCTGTCTCCCTCAAGAAGTTTGTGTTCAGATGATCTTGGAGCCCCAGGATTTGGGAAATCCAGTTTCCGTGGTTGAAAGGAAAGCACTGACATTTGGAAATGCCCTTCAGAACCTCCAGTGGTGTCTGCACACCCAAGTTAGCTAAAATGGGTTTGGAAAGCAGACTGGGTGGCCTTGCTCCTGGGGTTGAACGTCAGCTGTGTGAGCAGCAGTCGGAGCATTGGCGATCTGCACGCAGTGAGTGGGTTACGAGCTAAATTAAGAAAAAAAAAAAAAGGTACTTATGTACAGATGGGTGGGTTATGTCGGCTACACAACTTGGTTATCTCCCGGCGGCACCGTAGCGAGGTGCCAGGTCTTGGTTGCGGTAATCAGGGAAATGGGTTGCTCAGTGAGAGGAACAGACTCAGCGCTGGCAGCCTTGCCAGGAGGTTTTGTTTTTCTTTTTCTTGGAGGAGATGTTCCAGGGAAGCTAATCTGTGGGTTGTTTTTTTTTTTCCCCTCTTGGTGGAGATGTTCCAGGGAAGCTGGTGCATATGAGCTGCACCCAAAGAAGGTGGAGCTGGTTCTAGTTCCAGTTTGCTCTGGATCTTATCAAAGCCTCAGAATTGCTCCAAGGGTTTACACCAGTTGAGATATTCATCACACAGACAGGCCACGAGCAGCCCGGAGGAGCCATGACCTGCACCTAACAATTCCTCTGTGCTGTGATCGTTTGGCCGTAGCCTTTCCTGTTGTCTTTCTCATCTTGACTGTGGCTTTTCTCTTTGTGGCTTTGATCCAGGCGTTCACCTGGCCTGCTGTGGTTTCCCTTTCTGGGAGAAATACCTGTCTTATCAGGCTGCAAAGTCTAAATATGCAGAACAGAGCTGGGGGACCCTTTAGCTCCTTGTCTTCTGCTTGTTCCTGCTGGGCATGTCTTCTGGGTGGAGAACAGTGGTCTCTGCAGGCTTGAGCTGTTCAGTCATCTGAAGGAGCTGTGAAACCCCCTCACCATTCGGATGATACAAACTGGATCACGTGTCTCGTCGCAATGCCTGAAGGCTGACAAGAGGGATGTTTTGCTGGCATGTTTTGCATGAGCTGTGTAGGTCGGATCCTGCACCAGAACCATGATCTCTGCCTTGGAGCAGCAAAGAAGCACGAGCTGCTCTTTGAGGAACCAACTCATCTTGCTGCGTGTGTTTGAGTTTTGGAGTCCTAGTGCTCCTCTGAGCCAACTTTCCACAAACAGGGTTTGTTTTCTCTTCAATTTGAGTAATCTCTGCGAACTCGGCCCTTTGTATCCTGGGTCTGCTCAGAAGCTGAGGATACAAAATGTTGCTGAGAAGAAACTTCTGATCTATTTGATCATGTCTAACCGTGGCAGCAGAGGGGATAGTGATAATAAACCTAATGTCTCAGAGACCTTTTTTTTAAATGAGAACAAGAAATGTATCCCCAGGAAATAGGCTCAGAAATCACAGCTGCCCAGAAAAAAAACAGTGTGTGGTTCAAACCAGCTGTTTGGGTCTTCATTCCAACTCCAAGTTTTTGGAGTTTCTGCTGTAACATTGGGTTTGGGTTCGATGAGCTGTTGACAGTTGGGAGAGAAGGCTGCGTGTTGATGAGCTGAGCCTTTGGGAGCCAGGAAAGGGACTGGCTTGGCTGTACGCTGTGGTTCATGTTCAGCTGGGTATGGAATTGGAACTGGAGTGCGCTGCAGATGTTATCTTTGGATCTCAGTTACTTCCTCACTAGCTGGATCCATGAAAATCTTGCTGCTTTTCCTTTGTGTTTGCTGAATGGCATGAGTCAGATATTAAAGCAGTGACTTCAGGTTCCACCCTGGGATGGAGCCCGACAAGGAAACGCCAAATAACTCGTCATGGAAGACGGCGTGTTTCCCGACGGATGGCAGGATGGCGATTCCCTTTCGGCCCCGAACAGGGCTGCCAGGGCGAGGACGCGGTGCTGCCGGTGTCTGTCAGATGTGGAGCACAAAGAGCCTCAGTATAAATGCTCCCAGGACGCAGGGAGCGAGGGCAGTGTTATTCCAAGACACAAAATGGACCTTTTTCTTCTGGACTTAAAAATAAACAACGTTTTGGCTGAACAAATGGAACCGACCTTTTTATCAAAAGCATGTATCTTCTCATGCCTGCTTCAGTAAGAGGCTTTTAAAATTGAAGGAACTCCTTAACTTGCAAAACAGCTGACTTAAGTCATTCCAATAGCATTTATCATCTTACTTTTTGCTCCTTAAGGTTGGAGAGCTTGTAGCTTTTTTTTTTTTTTAATAGAAAAGGAGAGCAATAAGAAAAGTGGCTCTAACCCTGTGTGCTCCTTGCATAGATGGGGAGAGAGGCTGAGCCTGTTAAGTTCATTTTTAAGTTGATGGAAAAATTCCCGTTTGTTTTGGTGGGGATTGACCTGCCCGCAAGCTCAAGCCTATTCCTGCTCAGATGCAGAGGAAGGGTTACAGGTAATCAAGAGCAGCTTTGATAAAGAGATTTGAAACTTTTCCAGTAGAAATCAGGCAATATTCGGGAACTCCGGGGGATGCCGGCACAGTCGGCCTCCGGCGCTGCCGCACTGGGGAAGTGCCCCCTCCCTCTTTAACACCATCGCCGCGAACGGAGCCGCCCTGGCAGATGAAGCCCGTGGTTGTGTGAGAGTTGCTTCGTTTCCAGGCCACGAAAACACACTCGTGCTTACTGCAATCCGTGTTTCCAGGGTTTCGGCCATCACGTTCTTGTACTAGCTTTTTGTTTTCCTCTGCAGCCTAGCCAAGCCTCCAAGCAGGAACAAGCCCTTATTTTCTTTAGCTATTTTAGTTTGATGGAGGCTTAGCTGAACCTGACGAAACTGCAGTTTCATGGGAATGTTTTGACTCCTGTTGTGCGCAGAGATCTCGAAACAGAAAAACATTTCCTTGGATGGGATGGCAAAGGTTTGTTTGCCTGCTTCTACCTCCTCAAGGCAGAGACTGAAGATTTCCCCCCACGCCCCCTAAATTAAACAAACCTAATTCTTTTCATATTTCTTCTTTGGTGAGTTTTGGGGTTATTTTTGTTTGGTTCCCCCCCCTCCTCGACCTTTTATCCGTTGCGTTGCTTTCATTTGAACTTCTTTTATGGGTTTGTTTCTCTCTTGAAATCCAGCCACCAGGATGAGACACCATTCCAGCTATGATCCCAGCAGTACTGGTGCACAGGGATTACTGTGTGTGCCTTACATAAGGCAGTCCTGTTTACAGACACAAGGATTTTGGTCTTGACCAGCAGTACGATGTCGTTGGCTCGTGTTCAGCTTGTGACTAATTGCAACCCCAGCTCTTTATTTCTGCACAGCTGCCTCTTAGGGAGCAGGCTGAAGGAGAGTGGAGAAAACGGGATTTTTCTGAATCTGCAAAGTATGCCTGTCTTTGGGATGGAGATAACCCCTGCCAGGGGTTAATGTGGCTGTCGCTGGCAGCTCGGAGGAGCTGCTGCCTTCCCTCAAAGGCTGAGAGCTCTCCCATTTGCACGTGGCTCATCTCAGCCAGCTCCTGGTCTGTTGTGTTGGGCTTTTTCTCTGCATCTTCTCCTTGGTTCTTGCGTTTGCTGCCCGTTCCTCGTGCTCTCTTTGCTGGGTAAATCACGGAGGTGCTGAAAACGTGAGGGTGTGCTTTGCTGTTTGCACGTGGCTGTTACAAAAAGTCACCGTTGGGCTGAACCGTTGAAAGAGAAAGAAGGAAAACCGCCCCACTGCCCTCTCCGTGGAGCTCTGGGAGATTTTCAGTGCTGTTGGGTGGTTAATACCCAAGAGTTCACTGTTGGGATGTACCACATGGGATGTGGAAATGGAAGCGTGTGCATTTCTGTAAAGAAAGAAACAAATTTAGAAAATCAAAGATGGAGTGAAGGGGGAGAGATTTTGGAGTTTGGACAGGCTTTAAAGGGTTCAGAAAGCGCCTGAAGGCAGCGGAGAGAAGGGCCTCCCTGAACGGTGCCGTGCAGAGTGCCGTAAGTGCCATGTTCAGGTGGCACTTGGCGACTTTTACGGAGGGTGTGAGCATGAGTTTTCAGGACAGCTCTAGCCAGAACGCTGCGGGCCCGTGGGGCTTCTGGTTGCCATCCTCATTTCTGCGTCGACACGTTGGGTTCGAAAGGCTTCATCAGGTCAAAGGGTGTGTACCAGGAATTCTCCCTGGGAAAGGCAGATTTGCAATTCCGACGCTAAATTATGTAAGTAGGACACTTGGAGCCTTAGTTTTATGGCAAGGCGGCCTCACAAAGCCTATGAAAGGGGACAGAAGAGTCGCAGGACCCGTGGTTGTTGGGGCCCTGGGGTGATGCCAGCCCCCGCGGGTGGCGAGGGGGGCCTGCAGCCTGGCCAGGTGGTCCGGGCTCCCGGGCTCTCACCACGGGGCCATTCCCACAGGTCTCCGTGCCGCCGGGGCCGGTCAAAAAAGGGTTGTGGACCGGCCATGACGCCGGGTGACTGCTGCCACCGCCCCGGCTCCCTGTGCGACTGCCCGGGAAGCGCCGCGCTCTCCAAGTCGGTGGAGGACTCGGACATCGGCCGCCCGCAGTACGTCACGCAGGTCACCGCCAAGGACGGGCGGCTCCTCTCGACGGTGATCAAGGCGCTGGGCGCCCAGAGGTGAGGCTGCTTCGGGGAAGGGGCTTGCCACGACTGCATCTGGGCAGTTTTTCCCCTTTCTTTTTGCGGCTCTAGGGGTGGGGGTAGACAACAAAGTCTTGTTTGTGAAGGAGTTCACCAGGGCTCTGATATTGAGCGTGAATCCTCGTTAGCCAGATGCTTCCCAGGCCTGTGCTCTCAGAGGGAGCTCAAGCCAGTCACGTGTGCTGGTGGTCTGGGACTCGTGTGTTCATCCAAATCCCCCGGGCATGTGGCCTCTCCGGTGTGGGATGGCACAGGCGGCTTCTTGCCGTGTGTCTCGGCCGAGTCCTTGCTGAGCAGCAGTGCAGGTGGGACGCCGTGCTGGCAAGGGCAACGTGCTGCTCATGGAGACCTGGTGTAGTGGAGAGTTTCCCTGCCCGTGGCAGGGGAGTTGGAACTAGATGATCTTTGAGGTCCCTTCCAACCCAAACCGTTCTATGATTCTGTGATTTAAAGGCTGAAAATGGAGCACAGCCTCTGCTCCAAGATGGTTGTGGAGTGAAGACGTGGTGTCCATTTGCAGCCCCAGGAGAGGAGTGTGTTTGTGTTGCAGGAGCTGCAGTGTCCAGTTATTGCTAGAGGGGACGTGTGGCAGCTTCGCTTGCCCAGACTCTTCCTGATGTGACTTGTCATCGTGTGTTTTGAGCAGCTTCCAGAGCAGAGGACACTTGGCAGCATTGTTCTGTTCAGCTAGTGAGACTGGTCTCGTTTTGTGTTTAAATCCTGTCTGAACAGCTGTTATTTTTTTTCAATGAATTTGGCCAAACGTTGATGAGGTGTGAAAGCGGTGACTGCAAACATGGGGGAGGAAAGCAGGAAAGCTAGATGAGAACTGAAGTAAATGTAATTGCTGTATCTAGTAAACCTGGAGCAGGTCAATAAAAGTGGGAGGGGAACTGAGCTTGCTCTCTGACAACAGATAGACTGGGTGAGAAGTTGTGCAGCCCCTTAAAACTTGTGGAGGTATAAAAATTGGGTGGGGAAGCTGCCTGGGATTACAAATTCAAAAAAAACCCAACAGGATTCCTCATGTGACTGTCTTCATGGGACACCAGTTTGTTCGTTTTGGTGGTGGTGGGTTCAGTCTCTTCCTTGTCACTCAGCAAAGTGAAGCCAGGAGCAGGGTGACTGTACTGGAAGGCTGAATTAGTGACATGGTCTCTACAGCCTGCTGGAAAACTCTGTTGGAGGGGGTATCGTGTGGGAGTGTGACCAGGCCCCCTCCTGCTCTCCATAGGAAGGAAGGAAAATGGAGTCTGATAAGAATTTTTTTTTTTTCCACACACTGTCAGCAAATTTTTTCCTTCTGGATTGTTTATTGGTAGCCAAGGTTATATTAACGCGCTGGAAATATGAAACTTCTCAAACAGGAAGAGAACAGATGAAATATCTTACAGATGCTTTTCTTAGGAAATAACAGATGCATGAGAGTGCTGGAGGCTTTGGGATTTTTTGATCTGTCCCTGTCACTAAGGCTGTGTGAGCAGACTGTAATTTCGTTGTTCTAATGAGCTTTATGGCAATAAAGGTTACAGAATTGTCAAATAAGTCAGATGAGAAGGGAATTCTGGAAGACATCTGGTCCTGCCTTCTTTCAGAACAAGGCCGACTTCCAAGTTGGATCAGACTGCTCACAGCCTTGTGCGGTGCAGTTTTCGGTATCTCTGAGGATGGAGTTTCTGCCACCTCTCCAGACTCCTGTTGCAGGGATTGTCCCAGCTGAAGAGGTCCTCTAAAGGCACGTGAAAATAAGGAGAGAACAAGGGTCAGTGGTTCACTGGCGCTGTTTGGCAGAGAACAGGGAATGGTGCAGTGGGTGTACGTTGCTTTTCAGCCCTAAATGTGATTAAAAAGCCCAACTGGGATGAAACGTGCTAAACATTGAGTTGAGAGTGGTAGAGATCCCTTATGGTGCACCAGGAGAGGAGTCATGCTTCTCCTCAGTGAGCTGTCATGCACTTCCTTACTGGCTCTTCTCTTCATGTCCCACCAGTGTTTTTCCCCAGTACGCTCCTTTTCCTTGCGCTATGTTTCCGTGTCTTGCTCCTGCTTTCTGTTTTGTCTGGTTGTGCGAATTAATGGAAGTAGCACCACTGCTTTTGAAGATTGCATCTTGCTTGTTCTGCCTGTTGTGTTGCAATCCCACAAACAACTTCTGCAGTCAGGTATTTTTTTTTTTTTTTTTTATAAAGTCGGAATAGCAGTGTAGTATGAACTGTGAGATGGGATCAGAGTGGCTTTGGTACTCTCAGCGATATGTGGAAGAAGGCAATGGCTGATACATCTCACCAGGATTTCAAGAGGGCATGGAACTAGAGGATTTTTAAGATCCCTTCCA